AGTAGACAGATAAGAAATGTATGAAGTGTTTAATTTTTATTTGTTAAGTGAAAGAGTATTCATGTCTTTTAAAAAAATCAATTTTTATAATTATATAATACATTTAAAAGTATTTTTATCTTTTTAAGGATAGATCAATTTCATAATATCTCTTTCTTGTCTTTGTTGAGAAGCTGTGAAATTTAGATCCTTTGAGCAGGTAATTTTTACCCCTTGAAGAATTCCCCTAGAATTGGAAGTCAAAATTTCATCGCTTCACAAATACAACAAAAGTAGCAGTATATAATTTCAGAGATTTCTTCAATTCCCCATCCATCGATCGAATTCCAGGTATCTGAGATTCCTATTTATTGGAGATGGTACTTTCTCAGAAAATTCACGATGCTTTCAAGGGCACAGTAGAGAGAATCACGAGCCCTCGCACTGTCTCAGCCTTTAAGGAAAAAGGCGTGCTTAGTATCAATGAATTCATCGTCGCCGGCGATAACCTTGTCTCCAAGTGTCCGACCTGGTCCTGGTAAATTTCGTTCTCATCCCGTGCCGAATTCTGAATTTACCTCTCTTGCCATTCCATTTTCTCTCTATTTTGGAATTGGGAATTAAATTAGTTTATTATTCGCGAACCTGTGTAGATTTTGAATTGACTTGGTTGGAGTTGCCTTTTGTGATTGGTTAGGTGTTTTTATGCTATGAAGGCGTGAAATACGTAATAGTTATTGTTTAGCTTATAATTAGGAATTGGTTTTATTTTTTGAGTAATGCAGAATCTGATGTATCAATAAATGGTACAGGTTAGAAAGATGTTAGACTACTATGAAAAATTGTTGTCTTGTTTAATTAGATGTTCCTGCTATGATATACACTACTCCAAGCTTGAGATTTTGACTTGCAAAAACTTTAAAATAAGATGATACTTGAGATGTTTTCTGTTATGTATAGTTTTCCCCTTGTCATAGTAAAAGCTGAAAATTTAGGGGATGCATATAAACTTACTTGATGGCATAGAGAACTTGAGTTCATACAAATTCTATGAATGTCTTCTGACTGAGAAGTGCGGATATGTATTGTGTCTTCTCCGTCAGCCAAAAAATGCAGTATGTAATGTTCATGTTCTTTTTTCAGCTAATATTTGATGTGATTATTTTGATTGATTTTTTAACTGCATTGTTATTAATTTATGTTTTGTCAATAGGGAATCAGGTGAGCCAAGCAAGAGGAAGTCATATCTACCTCAAGATAAGCAATTCTTAATAACTAGAAACGGTAAGTGGTTTGGCCTTGTCCCCTGGGCATTGTTACATGAACATTACATGGACGAGTATGGTGTATGGATTCAAATTGAGAGCTATTAAGATGAATACATAGTATTTATGGTATTATTCATTTTTATAATGATTTAGTTCATGAATTTGTTGTCTCATTTCTGTCACATACAGATACTTGTATATTCTCATGCATAAACACTACCAAATCCTACAAGTTTTTGCTATACTTTATCAGCGATTGTGTTCTCTTCACTACATTCCTCAGCCCTGTATGTTATCTAAGATTATAACAAGTCTTGAATTTCTTCTGCACATTCTCTTCCTGGGTTCATAAACTAACCTTTGTGTCACTAATAGCTACCATTTGAGACTTCTCACCTATCATATGAATAGTTTCATGCACTTTGAATAAAGATGATAAACTATTTTTTTCCGTCTTCTTATTGGTGTTGATCTTCTACTTTTTCTTTATCTACTAGAGAATGGTAGATCTGACTGAGACTTCTTACATGGAATATAGGAGTACTGTTTTTGGGAATTCACTTGGAATCACTTTAAGTACTTTTCAGCATTTGATATCAATCATCACCATCTAGATTTTGTTTGCAGTTCCTTGTCTTCGTAGAGCTGCCTCGGTTGAAGAAGAATATGAAGCTGCTGGGGGTGAAGTTCTTCTTGATAATGAGGATAATGACGGATGGCTGGCAACTCATGGGAAGCCTAAAGGTTTGTTATTAATATGTGATATGATATTAAAAAGTTTAAGTTTGATTAGTTACCTTATTTGTTGTGCTATGCTGTTAATCTCCTTAGATACCAAGAGCGACGAAGATGAAAATCTACCTTCCATGGAGACACTAGAAATCAGCAAGAGAAACACAATCCAAGCAATCTCGTCATACTTTGGAGGTGAGGAAGAGGAAGAGATTCCAGATATGACAGAATTTGAAGATGCCGATAACATCATTGAGAATGATGATCCTGTAAGTTCCTATTTTGTTTGTTTATCCATGATTCTATTGAGAAGGACTTCTTTTTTCTTTTATCAGCTAAAATCTGTCACTTAAGTAAAGTCTTCAGCAACGCTGCTGTAATTGAATTACATTATTCTTTGTGAAATATGTGATGCACGTGCTTGCTAAATTGAAGTTTTATTGATGTAATTCATGACCTTCATTGTCAAGGGCTGCCAACAAACATTTTACATTAGTTTGTTAAAAGAAACATTAGTTTGTTAAAAGAAACAATTCCTGACAATGCTACTGTTGATGAGATTTTTGCTTCTGCAGTAAAAAAGTTTACATAAAACATTTCGAAAATAATTCATTGTTTAAAAACTACTTGTGCAATAATGGTAAAATATGTGTAATAGCAAAGTTTGACATCACTATTACACCGTTAGTTAGTTGTTATCAGGATCTTGTGCTTTGAACAAGTTATATTTGTTCAGAAATATTTTTTTGGGTTGCAATTGATTCATATATTAAAAAATGAAATAATTCATTAAAAGGTCAACCATATTTATGCATAACGTTAGGTTTTTATGGTGGTAATTTTCTCTAGTCAATACACCATAAGGTAATTTAGAGGTAGTGTAATTGACAACACAACGTTTGGGATGCTGGAGTTGGATCTACTGCATGCTTGCAAGACCATGGAAGTTTGTTTTCACGCATATCTCTTCTTTTCTTCTTTCAATTTTGTCATTGTAGAATGGGTGATGGAAATACATTTACTTGTAAAGGACTCTTAAATAGGAGACTCTCCTTTGTTTTTACCATTTCCCTGTCTCTTTTGGTTATGATCTTCTTGGAATACCAAGTTCTTTGAAGGTAGGTAATGGAGCATTTGTTTGTTTGGGAAGACCTTTTAGAATTTAGACTAGGAGCCTTTTCTTTTTTTGACTTTCCTGTCTTTCTGTCAACTGTGGACCTTCATGGAGCCCCAGTTTCTTCTTTTCTTATAGGACTCGGATTCTTTTTTGTAGTATTTTCTTTTGGAAACACGCCAACCAAAAATTGGATGAATTAACTTTGTTAGATCATTGTATGTTGAGAATAACAAGGTCATCTCCTTTGTGTTGCATTTGTTGAGGGATAATCATTTTGTCTTCTCTAAAATCAAATCTTCATAGAACTATCAGATAATGTATTACGATCACCTCACCAAGCTAATGCAAATAGATATATTATCTTTTTTAACAGCCAAGGCACTCATTCTGATAATGTAAGGTCTCCAAAATCAATTCTTCCTAGATCTATCAGAAAATGTATTACGGGTCCCTTCACCAATTTGATGTAAGTTACATCAACTGTTAGCAGCCAGTGCGCTCATTCTGTTTCTTCAAGGCATTTAAGAAGACTGGAAATAATGGTTATGAGGAATATTATCTGCATACTGTATGTCCTGATTGAAGTTAAACTTAGCACTTCTAGAAATAAATGCACAGTTCTGATTGCCGGAGTATGAATTGAAAGTAGTGTATTCCAGAAAACCTTAAGCTAATTTGAGAACAAAGTGAATTGCTTGTGATGCAGCACCAATAGGATGATTAATAAACATAGAAGAAAGATTCAGAAAGAATGAGGAATTAAGGGAGAGGATAGAAGAAGAATTCAATAGAAGAAGGGGAGGGATGCGCCATAAGCCACCAAAATAATTATTCATTCATCATCAACTGAAA